TCACGGGGCAGCATGTCGTCTTAATGTCAAAGGGGTCGGCTGGCTGCTTGAGCCGTCCCTCGATGTGGGTGGCGAATGTGTGGCTGCCGGTGTCCTTGGCCACCAGCAGCAGGTCGGCCGCCCCGCCCGCCTTGGCCAGCATCGTCTCGTTTGCCCAGCCGTCACGCTCGCCCCTGACACAGCCGGACAGACAGGAGAGAGATACACAGTGCCATGCTGATACGACAGCTTCGACGCTAATCACTGGCTGACCCACTTGTGGAGCAGCTGGGCGGTCATCCCAACGCCGCGTGTCATGTCGATGAGGGCCTGCAGGTCATCAGCGGGGAGGATGGGGTCAGCCGGGAGAGTGCTCCACACCTAAACAGACACACACATCGACACATGGACACACACGTCACATCGACATGATGACGTCCGTCCACTTGACGTGTCGGTCTGACCTGGTACACCTCAAGTCGCTGGGCGGTGAACCAGTGTCTGGCAGCAAGGGTGGCCACTCCCTCCGCTTCGATGTCACCCACGTACGTCTTGTCGTCGGGCAGCTCACTCCCCTCCACAAACTGACAGCAGCGGTGGAGGTCGCCAGCCGGCCGCCCCTTGCCCATCCCCGGCCACAGACGGCCGCCACCGATGGCTACCTTGCCAGGCGTCGCTCCATTGCGGTCCTTCACCACCCCCTCTGCGCCGGCGACCTGCACGCACTGCTCGCCATGCGGCACGTCGATCTTGGCGATGCCGGCGGCTAACGTGGTCCGTCTCTGCTCGCTGATGCTGCCCACGTATGACTTGTCGTCGGGCAGCTCATCTCTCCACACCCACTGGAGACAGCTGCGCAGGTCGCCAGCCGGCCGCCCATCATCCCCATACCCCAGCCACAGACGGCCGTGCATCCTCTCCCCATACCCCAGCCACAGGCGGCCGCCACCGATGCACACCTTGCCGCCGAGGCCCTTGCTGCCCAGCACCCCCCCCCCTACGCCGGCGACATCCACACGCTGCCAGTAGTGCGGCGGGGTGATCTTGGCGATGCCGCCCTCCTCAAATGGCCCACTGATGGAGTAGAAGGTCACGGGGCAGCCGATGGTCAGTGCTGATGTGGGCCCAACCGGGGAGATGAGGGGCCCGTCGATGTGGCAGGCGATGGTGTGCTGCTTGTCGTCCTGGATGACGAACAGCAGGCCGCTCACACCCGCCACTCGCTCTACCAGAGTGCCAAACTCTCCACCGTCAGACGAACTCCTGACACACAAAGGCATCCAAATCAACACATGGCATCTCCCTCCTGCGCCCCTCTGATGTGTGTTGTGACTCACTTGAAGAGGCATTTGATGTGGCTGTGCGATTTGCCGATCATCGAGAGGTACACCCGCTCCATGAGGCCGTACATGTCACAGGCATACAGCAGCTCGTCAGGTCAACTGCTCGTCGGCAGCGGCGTGGCGGCGTCGGGGGCCAACCGAATGCGGCGGACGTAATCCACCACCCTGCACACACCACACACACATGGAGATTTCGTGTGCCGCCTGGCTGCTGCTGTGGTGTGTTACTTGTGGAAGGTGTCTGCCGACACATTCGCGACGGGCCCATACCTGCACACACACACACACACACACACACACACGCACAGTGCCAAGATGACCGCCACGCCATCTCATCTCCGCCTGTCGACCTACTTGATGAATCGGTCGTGCAGTATGCTGTAGTCGGCCAGCGTCGCGTCGGTCGTGGCCACCACACCGCCATCCGCCACA